AAGAGAACTGGGAATAAAGAGACTTTGGTTTTGCCTTTGGTTTTGAAATAGGTTTTTTCTTTAGACTCATTACCAATACCTCTTCTTACATTTCTTCTAACTCCATAGATCATTGAAGCCATTTTACTTCTATCTATGTTTTTACTAGAAATGTCTGAAAAGACTTGTCATATTTCATTATGACATTCTCATAATCTATAGCAGCTTCTGAAAGAATTTCTTCCTCAAGTTTTGAACTCTTTATTTTAAGGGAAGAATTATCATTCTTAAGACTAAAACTTTCTTCATTTAAAATGGATAATTCTTTCTTAAGCTTATTATGTTCTTTAGATTCAAATACATGGACTTGTTCCAGGTCCTTGTATTTGTTCTGAAGCTTCTGGCACTTTTCCAAAATTTCAAATAAACAAGATGCTAGTTCGTAGAGAGATAGGTCAGGAAATACCTCTTATGAGTCTGACTCAAATTTTGATTCTGATTGAGTCTCTTCATCATATGCCTTTATGCTTTCCATTAACACCATATTTGCTTTCTCTTCCTCAGAGTCATGTTTTGACGAGTCAGAATTATTCCAGGTAGCAATTAATCCTTTCTTCTTCCCTTTGAATACTTTCTTCTTGGGGTTGTTTTTTCTGAGCTTGAGACATTCATTCTTGTACTGGCCTGGCTCCTTGCATATAAATCACAAAGTGTCTTTACTAGCACCTAACATCTTCTGTCTAGAAGTAGATTCGAAGCGACCACGTGTCCTTCTTGCTCATCTAAAGTTGAATTATATTTTATTCTAGAGTTGGTTAACCCTTCTACAGAGAAGAGACACCTCATCTTATTCTTCATAACCTTCTTCAGATTTCTCTTCCTCTTCAGCTTGAAAGGCTTTAGTCTTTTCATACTTTCCCATAGATTTTAGAGCCACATATTTGCCTTTCCTTTGAGTCCTATCCTCTTCAAGATCTATCTCATAAATTCTCAAAGAAATAACAAGTTCCTTAAGATAAGTGTTATTCAGATCTTTAGACAGTTTTAGCGCGGTTACCAAAGGCCTCCATCTCTTAGGTAAGCTTATGATAATCTTCTTAATGTGATATGTAGTAAAGTAACATTTTTTCAGAACCTTAAGTCCTACAACTAGAGTCTGAAACCTTGAGAACATGTTCTCAACTATTTCATCATCCTCCATTTTGAAGGCTTCATACTTTTGCATCAAAGCAAGTGCCTTGGTTTCTTTCACCCGAGCATTTCCTTCTTGATTCATTCTTATTGAATCAAATATAGACTTGCTGCGTCTCTATTTATGATCTTCTCATACTTAGTGTATGATATAGCATTCAAAATAATGGTTCTATCTTTGTGATGATTTATGTAGTCTTTATTTTGTTGTTCATTCATCACTCTTCTTTCTAACTTGTTACCACTATCATCAACAAGATGTATGTAGCCATCAACTACCAGATCCCATAAATCTACATTATGGCCAAGAATGAACCTTCAATTTTGTCTTTCCAATAATCAAACTTTTCTCCATAAAAAACTAGAGGTTTGTCACTATAGTGAACTCTTTCATTAACAACGGGTGCAACTGGTGGAGGGACTCTTGCCATTCTGTTTCACAAAGAATCTAGATCTTTATTTGACACGGTGAAGTGTTTGATAAATAATAAATACCAGAACCAGAGCTCTGATTTTAATTGAAGGTTAAGAAAACACAATAAACAGGGAGGTTTGAATTGAGTTTCAATATTAAAACTTTTTTGTCACCCAAGACAAGAAATAAGGAACTTATAATAAAAATAAAGAACACAATATTTTTATCCGGGTTCATTGTTAATGAAACTACCTCTAGTTCACCCACCAAGGTGATTTCTCCTTATCACAAGGATTTAATCCACTATAACAAAACTTGATTACAACCACAAAGACCTACTGTCAATGTCTTCTTTATAATTCTAACTATACCATAGTCTTTCAAGGAATAACAACTCAAAAGTTGAGATACAATGGCGTGTTTACAATTTTTCTTCTATAAAGCAGATTACACAAATGAAATACAATGATTAATGCAAAAGTGTTTGAAAGCAAGTGTATGAACAAAAGTTCCTTGCTTGAAGCTTTTCTATCTCATAGAATTTCAACATTTTTTTTTGTTTAATACTAGTTAGTAGTGCAAAAGTTGTTTTCGATCTTCCAAGTCTTCTTTATATAACCAAAGAAAGAGTCGTTGAAGGGTGAAGATGGAATTCCATAGTTTCTTAGTTGTATCCTTGCATAACGATCATCAGAAAGTGGGAGATAAAATGGTACAATAGTATTGTCCTTTCGCCACAAAGTCAGAGTAGTGGAAGAAATATTTGATGTTATACCATGTTTTATTCACTCACGTAAAAACTTTTTTGATCTTATCTTCTAATCTTCAGAGGCTTCAAAATTATTGACGAAGCATGTTTAGAATGATCAAAAGCTATATGAGAGTCTTCAAAATCTTGTCTTCAGAGTCTTCTGAACCTGTGTCTTCAGAGTCTTAAGAACTTGTTCTTCAGAACTGTGGGACACAAAATCTTCAGAGATTGATAATCTTCAAAAGCTCTCTTATCAGAGTCTCAGTCGGAAGATATTTAATGAACATTCTTTAGAAGCGTTGTTTAAGAGTGTTCCAGACTTGATATTTTCTTTGTAAAACGCACTTTGTATCTCTTCAGAGTCAGAGTGTGTTAAGTTCAGAAATTGATGACATCACACGCCACTTCTTTAGAGTCAGAACTTGTTAGCAAACAACTACGCACTAGCAAAACCATTAGGTTACAAAGTTGTTCTTTAAGAAACAATGAATTCTTATCATCAAAGCTAAAGGTCAGATGCAAAACCAAATCTTGTTCTTACAACATCATCATTACTGGGAGTTAGTTCTAAGCCTCTATTGCAGAACGTCATCACCAAACTCAACTCTATATTTTCTCTCAAGCATTTGGGAGACCTTGATTATTTCCTTGAGATAGAAGTAAAAAATGCATCCAATGGGTCTCTTCTTTTGACTTAAACCAAGTATATTAGAGACTTACTTCTTAAGAACAATATGCTTGAGTCCTCTCATGTCACTATCCATATGTAATCTTCTTATAAACTTACCAAGCATGGCTCTCATGTTTGACATGCCTTTACATGTACATATCAATTGTGGGCGCTCTTGAAATATGCCACCATAACTCGATCTAACATTGCTTATTCAGTAAATAAGGTTTTCCAGTTCATGTCTCACCCTCTTGAGACACATTGGGTTGTAGTTAATAGAATTCTCAGGAATCTCAATGAGTCAAGGTACCCTTGGCTATGGACTGCTTATTTTTCCTCTATCCCCCACAACCACTCCTACATTTTAGGTTTTTTGTGATGTTGATTGAGCATCAGACCCTGATGATAGAAGAAGTACTTATGGCATTGCTATCTTCTTTGACTCTAATCTCATCACTTTATGGTATAAAAAGTAGCATGTGATGGTTATATCTAACAGTGAGGCTAAGTACAGGAGCTTGGCTCGGCCTACTATTGACCTTCTATGGGTACAGACTCTCCTCCAAGAATTAGGAGTCTCCATAAAGCAACTTGTTATCTTATATGACAATCAGTCAACTGTCATGTTAGCTCACAATCCTATCATGCACTAAAAAACCAAGCACATGGAAATCAAAAAGTTCTAGCCAAGTAAATGCAAGTGGTGCATATTTCTGGTGTTGATCAACTAGCTGATGTCCTTACAAAACCTCTAACTTCATCCAAATTTTAGGAACTTAGACACAAAAGGTCATTAACTCCCCATGAGTTTGTGTGTGGTGGGGGTATTAAAGATATGCTAGGATTGTTTAGGCTTTATCATCTAGCTGCAAAAGAACTGGAAGATGTTAGTATACTAATTGTTACCTGCTATAGCATGTCATCACTTTGCATAAGTATAAATGTAAAATGATGCACTCATTATAACATACTCGAACAAAATAACAGAATTATGCTATACTCAATGAAGAGAACCACTTTACTTTCCAATATCTCTTGTATTGGCCAGTTACAACAATAAAAGAATTTGAGTGTAGCATTTCATTAAGATTGGTGTAATCACTCTCCAATATATGCATTTTAGCATATAATCGTTAATAGTGCTTAAAGAAACCATACAAAGGGTACCTTTTCATTTAAACTATGTGTAATGTTTTCTTGAAAGTACTGTATTAAACTATTGTTAAATTCCACAACTAACGCTTCACAATCTTTTGACTCTTATTTGCAAACAATCTCCCATTTTTATTTTAATTATGTTTTATTAAAACGTTAATTTTTATTAAATAGATCGACAAGTGAATAAATAACTACCTTGTAACTTATTGTTAAATTAGTTTCGAATACACAAAAAAAATCAAGCTTCATAAAAGAAGTAATAGTTTCAAAATATGTTGTCATGATGGCCCACAGTATATATTTATGGATGTATATAACTGCAAATTTAAAAAGTTCAATCTTCAGTTTTCGAAAAAAGAGTTAGATAGTGAAGCAAATGAACCAAAAAAATATCCACACCCTAAATGGGTACGATACTTATAGTAATAAAGAACGAGAGAGGAATCTTCAAAATATAAATTTAAAAAAAAATAGTCTCGATTATGTCAAAAAAAAAAGTGATAATGAATACTAATTTTCCAATTTGCCATAATCCACACAATAGTTACCCTCCACCTCATTCACACATGATAAAAACCAAACATTATTCATTTGGAAAAAAAATTAGCATTATCATTTCATGCTACATAGCCCTAAATATCCGAAAGAGAGAAAGATTTCATTTCATTCCATACACTACAACATTATAACATAACCCTAAATATTCAAAATGGGACAAAGATTCATAACAATCCAACATAAACATCATCCAAAATTATTACAACAACAACAAGAATAATAATTTTTCTCCAATTCCTACCTACGCACTATCACAGCAAACATGTTATCTTCAAAATTCACATCAACGATTTCAACGACCTTTCTTTCACCGGCTTCCTCATTCTTCTCTTTCCATTATGACCATCACCATAATCATAATCATCATAATCATAATCATCAACATAATCCAATCCCTCAATATCCATCTCCGAATAACAAGGAACAACATTACCATCAACACCAACACCAACATTAACCTTATCCTCACTAGACCCTAATGTTTTACCACCATTTTTATTATCACTATCACCTCTTCTCTTTCCCCACAATGGACCAAATCCAGAATAATAATAAAACTCATTGTTAATATTATTATTCAAACTCGAACCTACCGCCTTCTTCGGTCGGCCTCTTTCGCGTCGCGGCGTCGACCCCGCAGCAATGTTGTCGCTCTTCAAACCTTTGTTAACACCATTGCTATTAACCACCTTCTTAGTGTTAATATTATCCTCCTCAAGCACAATCGTATTAAAATTTTCTATCGCAGGTTTATTAATATCAGCATCTTGAGTATCCATCATCGATTCAACACTGTTTATTTATTACAACAAAAATTCATTCGAGCACAAAACAAATAGCATGCTTTTTATTTTCAAAAAAATTCATGAAGTCAAAGAGAAAATAAAACCCTAATAAGTTTCACGAGTAAAACAAACAAGTTTAAGAATTGGGATTTACGTTTACCTTTCATCAAAAGCTCTATGGAAATCCCCAGTTTTGAAGGTATCTTCATCTTCGAACTAAGTGAAGCAAAAAATAAAAATAAAAAATCGAAAATATTTCAAAAATATTGAGAAATGAGAGAGAAAATAGATACCCATAAACCTAATTTGAAGTAAAAAGAGAAGAAAATGAAAAAATGAAAAAATTTGAATGAGCGTAATATATACGAAGAAGAACCCTAATGCAAGGAAAAACCCTAATAGATCTGAGAAGAGAATAAGAAAAGAGAAGAACCTGGATTGAGTTGTTGGAGTGAAAGGGGATCACATCCCATGGAGACTGATTAAGCTGACAAACGTGCGTTTGAAAAGTTTCAACTGGAAATGAACCATTTTTGAGCAATGAAGAAGAACAAGTATGTAGGAGAGGGGAAAGCTTCGCGTTTTTTCGAATCCTCATTCAAAGAGTGAATCTATAATATTATCATTTTCGTGAATGAAAAATGGATTTTATACTCTGTCACTGTTGAGTAGTTTATTATATTATTATTATTATTAATTATTATTTATTTTCAGATCTCACTAACTCAGTCTATTTCTTTTTTTTCTTTTTCTTTTTTTCTTACACACGGAGTCACATACCTCGATAATAATAAATAAAATAATAATTTAAATAAAATCAGAGTCGTTCATGCTTTTAATTTCAACAAGACAATTTTACTCTTATGTATAGTCACTATTTACTCAACGAATGTGTTGAGTTCTGAAGAAACCCTACCCCTAGTAATTCTACAACCATGTCATACTCTACAGTTTTGCTTGGTTGTCCAAAAGTGATTTTAAAATTTATTTTCAATTTTGGAAACAAATAAATTATCACGTCAAGACAAATCATCAATGCTAGATTCCGTTCAACTTGAACTGAACTATTGATTTTCATTTTATTCTTGATTGCGAATAAAAATATCAAAGGAGGGTAATTTTGTCCAAAAATAAGTCCCGAAGCTTCTTGTTTTCTAAATGATTCAAGTATATTTAAACCCGATTCATTAGTATGTGTAAATTTGATATGCGAATTTCTATTTATCTTTAAACAATATCCGAATATATTTGAGTCACTAAAATACTTGATAAAAAAAATATAATTTGTGAAATGTTTTTTCTATAATTTTAATTGAAAATTTTAAATTTAAATTTTTGTAATAAATGGAGGCGCGTGGTTTACGACGCGCGGAAAATCCTATCCCTGCGTGCGGTAAGAGTGGCCAACAAGGATCGCCCACGTTAAAAATTGGATGACCAGTTGTACTTTGATTGGGTCCCATCATTTGGAGCCTAAAAGGATCAACGGTTGTGATGATGATGATGATGAAAATGGAAGAAAATATTTGATCTGCATCAAATGAAAAGTTTTAAGAAAAAAACATTGGGCCTTTGTTTGAGGTTATGTATACGTGGCAACAAAGGGCCGATTCAGTTTTTCAACCACACAAGGGATGGCAATTTATTAAATTTCAGAAAAACAAAGTTCAATTATGTGAGATTCCCTTTATTACCCTTTTTGTAAAAATATACTACTATATTATTTTATAATTTCTATATATGTTTGGTTTTCTTATGTGGTAGTATGACTGGTTTATACTTATCAAGTGAGGTACGACTTAAAAAATGTATTTTTTTGTCCGTTTTATTAATTGATTTATTTATAAAATATATTTTTTTCAATGAAATTTATTAATTTTTATTTTAGTTATATCTTTTAATTAATATTATTTTATAATAAATTATATATTATTCTATAAAAATATGTTGGTCCCACATTATATGTCTTTCTATATTGTAAAAAAAACATATTGTATATTTCATTAAATAATAGTAGTATGTTATTTTTCTACTTTCATTGATCATTAAATAATTTAAAAAATCTACTTTTTATTTATGATAATTTGGTTTGAACAATGGAAATTATCGATCTAATTAAGGCTATGCAAATATACCTTGATTTTGATAAATTTCATAATAATCATCTAAAAAATCCCTCAAAATTTTAAGAATAATTTTAGAAGAATAATACTAAATAAAATAATGTAGTAGATATGTGTGAGTTTTGTTTTGTGAAATTCGTTTCTCCATCTCTGAATTCTAAAGTAAGAATATTTATAAGAGTCTTCATGGTCTGATTTAGTCTAATAATTAGTTCTTCTGCTGTGGCAAATACATCATATTATAGAGGAGTAATTTCTCCTTTCTTAGAGAAGTGGTTTCTCATTTATCCAGACAAGAATGTTAGTCTCTTTCACGTCTCTAGGTCATATACAAGCTGAAATGGTTAAGTGAGAGTATGTCTGGGTCAAGCGGCCAAGTCCGCTTCAGGAGAAACACACATAATTCGAGAGTTCACCAATATTGTTGTACTTGGTCTGGATCGCTTTATCCAAGATAGTCCCATTTTAGGCTAATAAAATTATTCCAGTCCACAGTTCCTTGAGCATGAGGCCTTGAAAATGGTGAAGTGATTTAATCCAAACAGAAAGTAACTTATTTCAAGGAGAGACTTAGACAATTGAGTCCCTCAAGAATTGTTTGATGAAATTTCAAGAAGACCAGGAACAACATTGCCTTAAACTTAGGTTTTTTAATGCTTTTAGTTTACTTTTTAACAATTGCATTACCTTCATTCGGGGTTTATTAATGAAAAGACTCATACTTTATGGTGATTCCTTTTATGATATTTGAACTTTGTCGTAGTCTGTCCAATAATTTTGAAGTTTATATTTCTTTGGATGTACGAGCTTACTATTTGAGGCGAGTCCCTCAAATGTTGCATTTGTTGAGCCCCTCAAGCATTGAGTAGGATTTCCCTTGACGGGGATCCTTTAGTGGAAATTGTAACGCCCGTTAATTTAATTAATTATTTAATTAAGTATTTTCGATTAATTGCGGATTATTTGTTGAAATCGTTGACATGTTGTGTTATATTGTGAGTTGTTGACATAAGTTGCGGTGTTGTTATTATTCGGTTAAATTAGTTGATTAATAATATTAGTAATAATATTATAATTGTAGAATATTAATAGTATTAGTTGTTGGGCTTGTTTTGGTGGTAGACGTGGTATTAAGGGGGTGTGAAAATTAGGCCCAATAGAAATAATAATATTATTAGGTTAAGTTAAATCATATAAATTATGTTAATTAAAAAGGGTTAAGAGAAAGAGTAGAAAAAGTGTTGTACGTGAGAAGTTACAGGAAAAGAGGCAAAGCTAATAGAGCGACCTTCAATCCAAGGTAAGGGTGAGGTTCTGACTCTATAATTGGGCATATGATTAATATTATGTGAGAATTTTTCTGTAAAGTTGTGTAATAGCTTTGATTAATATGATTAATGGAGGGTACATGATTAATATATATGGTTAACTGTGAAAAATTGTCGTCTCTGTAAAGTTGTTGTTTTGGTGAAAATTGATGTTGTTGCAAATATATATTGTTTTGGTATGAGACCTGTAATCGGAGGAAAATTTGGATAATTATGTGTTCGTATCAGTAACAGACTGAAATCTAAGGCTGGAGAATCCGTTGTGCCGAGGGGCACGGCGTGTGTGCCGAACAGAACAGAGGCATAAGGAGAGTGTGCCGGGCAGAATGAAAGGGTGTCGATCGGTACCAGGTGAAAGAGAGGTATGGGCCGAGTGGCACAACCTGTGTGCCGAGGGGCACATCGTATGTCTTCTACTTTGTTTTGTCTGTTTCGTATGTCTGCTACTTATTTAATTGGTTACTAATTGTCATTACAGAGTTAATGAATTACGGATAGCAGAGAACCATTAATAAGGTTACCAGGAGAAGTAATTTAGTAGAATTTTCAGTAGAAGTATTGGTAAAAAATTAATATGAGAATAAATTAGTAGCTAGTAGTAGAGGTGAAATAATTAATAAGTGACTAATAATAAATTGTATGGAATTGGAAATAGGAGTACAGAACCGAAAAAATTAGTACTTTAGCAGAAAAATTAATTAATCGGAAATAGTCATAATAGTCTGAATAATTACGTGGTTTATTTGTTGTAAATTTTGGTTGACTCGTTGTATTGTGTTCCTTGTTGAAAAATGTGAATTTGCAGGTGATGTTGTATCTTATTGAATTGCCTCTGTTTATGGGTAAAATATTAAGTTGTAGGCTTATGGCCAAAGTTGGTTTGTTTTTGCATTGCTATGGAATTTTATTGTTGTCATTCTGACATTCATATTATGTCGCATACATAGCATATCAAGTTGGAGATGATTCTCGATAAGTTGGCCTGGATTGGCAAATATAAAGTTGAAGGTTTATGCCTTGTTGCTGCCTCTATTAATTGGCAAGATTATTAAGTTGGGAGTTCTGCTCCGTTGGTACCACATGCATGTGCATCGTAACAAGTCGCATTCCACGTTGCATATTTGAGTTGTTGTGTTGATGAATTAATCGTTATATTTTGTTGATATGTTGTCGTGATTGTTGTTGTTTATAAGTTGTGAAGCGGTGAATTTACATGAATTGATTCTAATATAATGTTTATCATACGTTTAATTATATTGTTTGATATCTCACCTCTTCTATTTTAATGTTACCCCGATGTTGGTAATGTGCAAGTAATCCAGAGTGAAGGCGGTTTACCTTTAGTAGTTCGAGTCGGTATCATCACTCTGATACGTAGCACTCTAGGGATGAACGCTTATTGGTTTATTGTTGTTATTACTTCTTTTGCTTAATTTTAAATTGATTTACTAAGTACTATGTTGTTTTTAAAGTTGTTTCCATTTGGACAAGATTTTACGTCCCTTTTGAGTTGGATGTTATGATTTCCGCTGCGTAGTTATGAAAGTTGTTGGTTTTGAAAAGATTAATTTATGTTGTTGTTGGTTCATCCAAGTTTAAGTGTTATGTATCTGTTTTAAAAGCGATTAAATGTCATTGTTATAAGCCAAATGTGTAGCATCTCATTTATTCGTTAGAAATTTTGAAACTTTGAATTTATATAATTTATTGGGTAGAAATGGGGTGTTACATTAGTGATATCAGAGCAAGTCGGTCCATCCGACCAAGTTGTTGAGTCATAGTTTGTCTAACAATTTAGTATTGTTAACTTGAGTTCTAACTATTGTTTATGCTGTAGCGTTAAGTTGAGATGGCTGGAAGCAATGGCACTGCACTTGTTGCTGCTTTAGAAGCTATGGCACATGCTATGGAGAATCAACCGAACACTGACGGGAATGCTGGATCTCGTAGTTTGGCGACCTTCCAGAGGGAGAATTCGCCTACCTTCAAGGGTAAGTATGATCCTGACGGAGTGTTGGATTTATTCAAAGAGATTGATAGAATCTTTCGTGTGATGAGCTGGACTCCGGTCTAGAAGGTTCGATATGGTACTCATATGCTAGCAGTCAAGGCTGATGACTGGTGGTTGGAGACGTGTCAGAAGGTGG